AGGAAAGGTAAGGAAGGAGAGAGAGAGAGAGAGAGGGTGTGTAGTGCGATTACGAGTTCGAGGAACACCGTTCGTTGCACGTGCAATGGCCATAGTTTGACGAAGAAGGTCGTATCGCCTTTTTACACACCTTTTCCGTCTCTCTCGCGTTTTTATACAACTTTTTTTATACCTTTACTTTTCTCTCCTTTCTTACTCGGTAATTTATCAAGACCACGCGTACACGTTTCTAAGTATTAATCGCGTTTCGCTTCCATCCATCCTTCGGGATGAACGATCATCGTTTCATCGAGCTCTTCTCTCGAATTATCGCACGCACGAAAGCCGCGAGAAACTATCTATCCATCGAAGAAAAATTTGTATGCATCTCGTCCAGTAGTTTCTGTCGTCCGTCGATCGATCTCCCAACTTTCTCGCCCGACAAACTCGCGAAAAACGAGGGAAACGGGGGAAATAGCGAGGGAACAAGTTTCGCCGCAAATTATTCCGGTTTAATAATCCAGCATAAAGGTGTTGAAACGTTCGATCGTAATCATTCTAGATCCGAGAAATCTCGATGATTATTAGTTAACGATCGATCGATCGATCGAGGGGCGAAACGAGCGGTGGATCGATTAAAAAGGAAGGTGGAAAATTGCAATTTTTCATCTCATCGATCACGAGGCTTATAACCATCGATCAACAATGAGGATAAGCTCGCCATCTATTCCCCCCCTGCCTATTGTACGAAGTTTTTTTCTCCTTGAAGAGAAGAACTTTTAGCTCGCCGCCGCCAGTTGAACGATAAACCGTCTCGGTTGTGTAAATTAATTTTTCGCGCGGAAAACTTTCATCGTGGCGGCGAGTTTGATCCCTTGGCCCCTCCCTCGTAATGGGGCGAATTTCTATACAACAATGTTTGGAATAATTGGGGAAATTGTTATACACTTACACTTCAAGAATATTTTTTCCTGGCGGTGAGAGTTTGTTTTTTGGGGTTCCATTTCCATACCCTGCGCCTTCTCGCGCGGGTTTGCTGTCCACTGACAAATTCGCCGTGTCATTGCGCATTCTTAATTAACAACTCTGCAAAAGAAACGGAACATGATAAGTTTAACAGAAGAAACGGAAGATGATCAAGAAAAAATCGAAAAGTCACGACGATCAACGTTTCAATGCTCGACCGAGACAAGTGTACAGGCAAAATTCGATCGCGCGTATATCCTTAACCTTTTCGATTATATATCGTTCTGCACAAAATGCCACTACGAAATACTACGAGCGACTATAATCTATATAAAATGCCACTGAGATACTACGAGCGACTATAATCGTTCCATATGAAATGCCATTGACATGCTACTATCGTTTTGCATTATCGTCATTCATGTACGATTATAGTCGCTCTGCATAAAATGCCACTGAGATACTATACTGGCCGACTATAGTCGCTGTGCATAAGATGCCGCGTATCGTACGATATGACGAGCGATCGGAATTACCTTCTCTCGAATCGATATTTTGTTTTTATCATCAATTTTTTTTTTTTTTCAATAAACACCGTCGAAGCAACTCGGCTCGCAATCAGGCTTTCAGCGAGGCTTTTCATATTTTTCTCGCCCTATCCTCGATCTATCTATCGATTCTTCCAATAATTCTCATTAATTATCGAAATCTCGTTGTTTGGGGAGAATGGGAACAAAAGCTGTCTCCGTTAAATCGAAGCTCGGGGGGCATGGAATGGAAATTTCGCGTCGGTTTCTCTTGCAACCGACGTTCATGTGTTCATTCTATCCCCCTCCCTCCCGTTGTTATTCACAACGTTGTTACGTTATAGTATATATATATATACTATATCGGTGGTTAAGCGACGTTTGGAAACGTGACAATGTCGGAACCCTTGAGCTTTCAATAAATACGATCGACAACAGCGTGACCGCCGCGGATTGGGGAAAAAACGCGGCCTTGCGCGATAAATTAAACCCGGGGCTGACGTTTTGATTGTCGGCCTATATATTTGTTGCGGTCAATATTTGCCCCGCTCCCGATCCATTGTCGCCTGCCGCCCGTTACAGGCCGTCTGTTTCGTCCAGCTTTGCGAACGCAAACTGCAATTAGCAACGATAATCCAGGGACAACAAACTCTATTTACCCCGGTCATTATCCACTGTATCATACGTTTACCGCGCGGGATATACAATCTAAGCGATGGCTAGAAATTGCGCTAATACGTGTTAATTAATCGATTGACCGATGGGGCCTATGATTACGTTTAAAAGGGGGGGCCGGCGCTGGATTATGCGACGAAAATCGTTCGTCTGATGATCGATCGTTCGATCGATGGAATGATGGATGGATTCTAAACTGGATTAATTTTTTTTTTTTTAATCGTCGATTTCTCTTTTTTGATTCCACCTGTAAGGAAATGAAGTATTCGTTGGACGATCGAGAAATTGTGACGATTCGAGAATTTGAGATTAAAGTATCTCTAATAAATTTAGTAAATTGTCGCTCGATCGAACGATTCGGATTTTACACCATCTACGAATAAACGTGTTTTATTTTTGAATAGAGTTACAGTAACTTTTAATTGTTGATTAATTAATTTTAATTAATTTTTCCGAAGCCAAGAAACCTCTCTGTCGGTTTTTAAATTAATTTTCGCAATTATTGGTTTGGCTCATACGTTGAGAACGATTTCGGATCAAAAGTTGGGGGACGCGTGTGTGCGCGCGCGCAAAAAGGCGCGAGCAGGCGAAAAGGAAACTTGGATACAGGGAAATCTAAATGGAACCACGAGGAACGTTAATGTTCGGCAACTACAATTTCCAACTCGTGCCCCACATCTCTCGGACTTTCTTGCGTCTAATTGCTGTTCTAATTGTCGAATGAACGGCACGATAAAAAGTCGTTCGAGTCGTTAGCTCGTGTTGGAGAACCGGGAGGCCTTTAATCGCCGCCTCGGACTGTTTCGCGACGGAAACTTTAACATCCTTTCAACGGCGAGACGAAACGGCAACGTTAACCTCGTTGCCGGAAGAAAGATCTCGATACGACACTCCATTGTTCGAATCGAATCGAGACAATTCGATCGAGAAACAGCGAGGACCGACTGTTAATTTATTCGCGACATCCAACGTAATTAACGTAACGAGTACTCGTGCATCGATATCGATATTATAAGATAACGTTTCTTTTCTCCCCTTTTTCAACACATCTGTCAACATCTGTATTCGAATAAATAAAACCAAGGTCTAAAGAAAGCGGTCTAAACGAGATACTTGGTTGAGCAAATGAGAAAAAACTAATAAAATACAAAAAAAAAGAAAGGGGAAGATATTCTCCTTTTTATTTCGACCGGTATCTTTCATCATCAACTCTCCCCCTTTGATCAACCATCTCTTTGTTATGGCGTCTAGCCGCCTCGCCTTCGGTAACTAGAAGTAACGACGCGACACCATCCCATCAATGTCTCCACTCTTTGTATATTTTTTAAAATCGATATCCCCTTGAAACGAGCTACTTTTCTCCGTACTCGTAGAAAGGATGGATCCAGAGAGAGAGAGAGAGAGAGAGAACTCCTTCTCCGTACGATATTTTCCAATTCGGTTGAATATCGTCGCAAAAAAAGGTGGGGGGGGGGGAGGAAGAAAAAAGAGAAAAGAAGGACGAAAAGCGGTTTTATTAACGAGCCACTGGAAGAGAATCGAGACACGAGGAGTAATAAAGAGGCGCGAGAGGACGGCCGACATCGTGCGCCCGGTCAATTTCGAATTATCCTATTTCACCGGGAACGAGAGATTTCCGATTTCGTTTGTCTCCGTTCCAATAACCTTCCTCTCTCCTCTCCCTCCTAGGCACTAGACCAGCTAGTGCCGGTTTATAAAATTCTCTCCCCCTCCTCCTTGTCTTCGTTACGGGATCGATGCAACGATGAATTGTCTGTTCCAAGTTGCGCCCCCTCCCCCTTCTTCCGCGCCGCTCTTTTTTCACGAATCATCGATCGAGGCCAGAAGAGACGAGAAACTCGAGCTCGAAAAATTTCTTCAAGATGATTGGGAACAGTTGAAATATGTTTCGCCCAAATTTCCTTCCCCAAATCTTCGTATCGAATCTAATGAAAGAGCAAAAGAGAAAACGAGTGGATCCAACTTTTCTATGCGTTAAAATTTTCAGATTGTTCCAGAAGGGTTGGCGATCCATCTTTCTCGAATTCGGGGACAATCTTTTCGAAATTTGGGGGAAGCAATCCTCGGCCAGATTTTGTCCCCGCTAATGTATTCGTCGGATAGTTGCCGAGCTGTAAACTTGGTCAGGGGCGAGCCGGGTTGAAAAATCGCGGCTAATGGGAAAAATTGGTAAAGTTACACGGGAAGTTGGCCGGCGACTTTCGTCGCGGCACCTTCGTCGCAATCGCGAAACTCCATTAAGCTTGGAAACTAATTTCAAACCGAGTTTTCGCGGCGAGCATCGGTGTAATCGCCTTCCGTCGTGTCTCGGATTATTTTTCGCCGGAAACAGCGAATTTTACGAATCCAATTTTTTCTTTT